GGTTCAGAGAGACATTGGGGCTACTGCTTTATTCCAGCATGTCAAAGCACCATATTTTGAAGTAAGAGCTTTCTGCACCCCACCACGTGCTTCGCTGGTCCTTTTCTGAGTGCTTTACAAACACTGTTATTAATTCCTGACATTCTCAGCATCTTGGAGGTAGGCATTGCTATCTGTGGTGGTCGTTTGGAGCCACTGAGTCTCAAAAGCAAACCTGCAGCTGGGACTTGGGTCCAAGACTCCAGACTCCCCAGCCAGTGCTCCCCTCCCTGGTCACACTTGCCTGCTCACCACTATGGAGACAAGTGTCCGCCCCTTTACACAGCTGCACAACCCAGGGGTGCTCATTCAAAATATAGATTCCTGAGCCCAGATTTAGGCATTGGGTCTCTGCAAAGGCAGGGCCCAGACGTCTGTGAGTGTGTGTTTTAACTCTCTCTGTGATTCTAGTAGTCACCGATTCCCTCCACATCTGTGCACCTCCATGGCCACCACTCCTAGCAGATCAGTGTCATCTCTAATAACCTTCTAGCTTTTCATCCTAATTCTGCCTGTGTGCCTCCTACCATCCAATCTCCATGCAGCGGGAGCTTTTGAAAACATATCACATTCGATCCCTTCCCTGCTTAAAACACTTTTGTGAGCTCTCTTTTTTTGGATTAAGAATAAGTCCAAATCCCCTCCGCATCTCCGGTCTCTGACCTTGCTCCCTCCTCAGCCGCTGCTCACTCACTGTGCCGCAGCCAGACGTGAGCTCCTCACCACCCCAGGGACTGTTTCTGCATGGAGTTCTCTCTTCCCAGGACTTTGTGTGGCTGGCCCCTTCTCCTCTTCACCTCTTGCTCAAATACCACCTCCTCAGAAAAGACTTCCCTGGAATAACCCTCCAGTCCCCTTTTTATCTTGATCCTGTTATATTTCCCACCATTGAATTTTCTTGTTCATTTGCCTATTGCAGTCTCCCCCCACTAGAATGTGAGTGCTCTGAGAACAGGGACTTTATATGTCTTAGTCAATGTGT